CGCATACAAAAGCGTGCGACTGCGTAGCGGACGAGGGAGTCGCCCGTTAGACTGCCTGTGATGAAGACGTCGCGGGCCACTTCGAGCGAGGTTTCGGATTCAGCTTTGCTGCGCAGTGTGCGGCCTGAGATGAGTGTTGTCGATGGTGTCTCGTCAGAAGGGCTGAGGATCTCGGCGCGCAGGTCCGGGGAGAGGAAATCGAGGGTCCCTCTGCGGCCGACGACGTAGGCCAGGCCGCCGACTTGGCGCGTGATGGACTCGCCCGATGTCAGGCGGATGGTAACTGTAGCCACGCCTGCATCGTCCGACGAGGAAACGTCGAGGATCTCGGCATTGGGTAGTCCTTCGTATACACTCCAATCACGCTGGCTGCAGAAAGGATTCGACTTCCTTCGGGCCAGAGGGGATTTGGCCGACTTGCTCTTCTTGGTAGATGCAATAGCCGCAAGCTTCATCTGTCGATAGACTGCCGCGTATTCTGGGTAGGCGGTGTGATGGCATCCTCGTAAGGGTGAAGGTCGCTGCTCTGGCGCCCATTGGAAAAGGTGTATGATTCTGCGTGTCGGGGGCGCAGAGATGATGACATCTGCGGCTGAAAAGCCAGAGCCAATGACTAGCAGAGGGTCATGTTGTGAGTCCAGCTGCGCAACTGGCCGAAGCAGTGGCGGTGGTGGGATGTTGACGTTGAAGATGCCAGATGCGAGGACGAGATGTTTGCAGCGGATGTTCAACGATCCTATAAAAAAGCCACGACCCTCTCGATGGACATTGTCGACCTTCATGTTCGTGTAGACGGCATCTTCGATGCCCACGGCCCTTGGATAGGCCTTTAGATAGTCTGCATATTCCGTCCTCGAGGGGCGCACAAAGTCGTATTCGTCTTGCTTCTTCTTCTCCGCCAAATGGTCGGCGTACGAGTAGCCAGGCAGACTCAGCTGCTCTGCATAGCTCAGGGTGCCTATATCCGCGTTTGCTGAGACGGGCTTCGCAGCCCATTGGCCACCGGCATGGGCTGCCTCACCAATAGCAACATGGGATATTGCCCGTTCGGGCTCGTAGCGCCATTCGATACACGACTTCGGGTTGATCTCAGTGTCCGCATTCGGACGTATCAGAGTATCGAGGAGTGTATTCACAGGCAGCGCTTGAGTCGAGTACCGCAGCGAAGCCAAGAAATGGGCATGCAGATCTGGCGTCAAGTGCAGCAGATTGGGGTTCTTCTCGAGTTTCGCATCGAGAATGGCATCATGGTGTCCGCCAATATAATACGGGACATGACCATGGAGAATGTAGGAGAGGATGAGCGCGGATGGTCCATTGCCTGTGATTGATAATCAGCCGCCGTCCTGTTTCCCTTCCCCCACCACCATCCCCTCTCTCTCAGGAAGCTTACCAATGATCACCGTGTCGACGCATTCCGGGAGCGAACGAGCCATGGACCGTCGTGACAGCAGTGTGCCATGAGTACTGCAGAGTATGTCTGGGAGGAGAAAGGGAGGTCAAGTTTCAAGTGTAAAGTCTGGAGCCGGGCCAGGGCACGTAAATAGTCTATTTCTTCAACATGACGGCCTCTTTTTTTCTACCCTTCCCGCGCTAAACTCGATCGAAGCGGACGGAACAAGGACCGTCTGGTGGGGTGGTCTGGCCTACGAGTCGCAGCAAAGCCATCCGGCCCGTTGTCCGGCTTTTACTCGCGAGTGGATGAGGTGAAGGGTATGGCAGACATGGCGAGTATGATTAGCAGTTTATTGTCTCGCAGAATCCTGCGTAATTGGGTGATGACTGCATGGGGGAAGCGGTAGATGGGTTACTTGAATGCTTTAAAAAGCAGTGTGGGGGGGAGAAGGTGGGGGGAAAGAAGGATGAGGTCAGCGTGTCCAGGCGCGGTGCCTGCTTAAGTCCGAGCCAAGTGCGGGGCATTTGCTTGCAGCCGCCCGAGTACAAAGTGCAATGCCATACACTATACAGTCTTGTATGGTAGAGTACAGGTACCGTAGATAATGACCGACTAGAAACAAGACTAGAAGCAGCATTGAATGCCAGATTGGAACCCATCCGCTTGCTCTCCTCGTCAAAGGCATCCTCTTCGACTAAAAGCATTCGATTGAACACTATCAAAACAACACATGGATATCGAGCTGACAAATTCAAATCCTGCATCAAGCACACAATAGGTCCCGTGACCTTGTCTTCTCTGCTGCAGCCCCAGATGGTCCCTATCGACTTGGACACCCCAGATACGCTAGTCCCTCGTCTCCTCGACTCTTCTTCTGGCTGTACATGGTACATGCAATGCAATAGGCACTGTAAACTTGGGAAGCCCGGTTCCCGACATCAGCCCGATGCATCTACCGAGGGTGCACATGCAGGGAAGCCTGGTCGTTGGTCGTATCCCCACAGGACGCGACCAGCTATGGTACCTAGCTGCCTGCCTCGGCCAACCAACCAACCACTCCCTCCCTCTAAGCATGTACATACTACCTATCCATAGCCACTACTGTACATATACAAGCCCATCCTCCTTAGTATCGGTATGTGACAGGCTTGCGATCGGCAACGGGCGATGCATCGTGCGCCTGCGATGGCTGGGAAAGATGAAGTTCCGGGGTCCGTGATCGTTGGGGGGGAGGATATGGGTCCTCCTCAGCAATCGTCGTTTGCACGCCGCCGTGCATCGTCAGGTTGTGCGCTGAGCTGTCTTGTCGTCCCAAGTAGGATGGGGTGGACTGGTAGCCGGGGTTGTATGACTCGGGCGATCCTCCATGCCCATTTCCCGACACCCTGCCATCTTGCTGTGGCCGAGAGGGAAGCTCGGGGGGCGGCGTGTCCGAACGTGTGTTTGGATCAGCAAAGGGGTTCTCTTCTGTCGCCCCTGACCGTTTCTGCGCCGGCGCTGCCTGCAAAGAGGCAGGCAGGGACGAGTATAGATTAGGATTACTATTCTGCGCCAAGTCATTAGTCCTTGTCTGAGAGGGCTGCGAGGATGCGTCTTGTGGCGTCGCAAAGGTCGATGGCTGCTGCTGCTGCTGCTGCTGAATCGGCCGTGGTGGCGGAGGCACGCCCTCGGTAGCAGCCTCCACACTGTTGTACTCGTCGTTCTGCACTGGTGGAGACGGCGATGCGCCCATGAGACGTCGGGCCTGCAGAATGGCGCGCTGGTGCTTCGAGGCAGCGAGGGAGAGTTGCTCGTTGGTCTCGATTAGGGTCAGCATGGTGTCGTCATCGGGCGCCGGGTTGTCGCAGGCAATGTAGGCCTGCACACTGCGCTGGGCCGTGGTGCAGCGCTCGGCAAACTCCTTGACCAGCTCGTTGGCCAGCAGCTCGTTGGCGGGCGTCGATTGCACGAGCTGCAACAGGAGCTTCGCAGACGTGCGCGCTTCCTCGATGCGCCCGGCCAGCTCGAGCGGCGGCGGCAGGCCCCTGGAACTGCTCGAGCCCGAACCGAAGCCGCCGTGGATTTGCTGCGACGTGGACCAGGCGGGCGCATTCAACTTCCGTGGGCCGAGTGCCAACTTGGCCGTGGCCGTCTCCATGAGTCCCTTTTCCTTTTTCCACATGGCGAAAAGGGCATTGAGGTTGGTATCGTAGCCCTTGTCACGCTCCATCGAGTCGAGCGTCTCCCGCATAATCTGCGACACGCTCGGGTCGTTTCCATTGCGCAACAGATGCTTGACCGTATCGGCAAACTGCTTGTCCAGGTTCTTGGTGAAGGAGGGGCCCGGGTTGTCGGTCAGGATGCGAATGAGCATGACCGAGTTGTACTGGACATGCGGCCGGCTGTAGTTGTCCTTGGACAGGAAGACGCGAATCTGGCGGGCGGCCGAGGCAGCAGCCAGCGGACTTGCCACGGCGGCTTCGACAATGGTCGGGAGGTGTAGTACTTCTTCGCCCTGGAATGGCTGTGAGCAGAGTCCCAGGTTCCCAAGCACGCGATGGAAACATACCGTATTGGCCGCGCCTGATTCACAAAAGAGCTTCTGTTCACCCCTTGCGCATTAGCTACTGCTACTTCTACGCCATGTCTGACTTGAACAGGTGCTGGAGCGGTAGCGAAAGAGGACATACCACCCCTCTGGCAGCATTTGCCTCTGGCGTATCGGCTTCCGAGTCGATGAGGACGTCATTATGTGCTGGGTGGGTGGTTAGTAGAGGGGCCGTCGTGGTCGTCGTAGTGACGCCGTGCAGGTAAAACAAGAGCGCTAGACTGACCCGACCGCTTGCGCATCAAGCCGCTCAAGTTGAGGTGCTTCTTGAGCTCGACCATGTCTACTCCTGCAAGTACTACAAGTACTGCGACCAACTCTACCCGGTGGAAGGGAGGGGGGACCGGTTGCGCGGGGATGCGATGATTTGCAGCAGGGACAGGCGGCGTATGTATGGTACCGGTGCTGGGTACTGGACTGGACGGTCGTGGATGTCTCGAGTCTGCTGAATCAGTCGAATCCTGTGGCAAAATAAGCCTTTTGGCAAGAGTCGCGCACAAGAACGGGCGAGAACAGAACAAGTATAAAAACAATCTTGTCGTGCTGCTGGACGAGGCCCGCAACGCGGACATGTGCCTGCGCCTCTCACCGCCAAGCCGTGCCGACCTTTGTCGCGCGTCGCAACGTCAACAGCCACGTACAACAGGCCGGTCACGGTGCCGCCAGTTGCGCCGCACTTGTCGTATCCATTGCTCTTCTCCCCAAACGTATATCCATCTGACGCGTCTCCCATCGGGCGGAGCCAAGTGCCGTTGAATGTTCCTCGTGCCTTGTTCCTCGTTCATGGTCATCATCCCTCTTGGCCTTGAGGAAGTGGCACCGAGGCGTAGATAGGTCTCTTAGTCACCCACCTCGCCAACCCCACCATGACCACTTGGCTAGTACCTACCAACACACATACCACAACACACACACACACACACACACACAATCTCTCTCTCTCTCTTTCTCTCTTTCTCTCTTTCTCTCTCTGACACAGTCTGAACCACAAAGCAGTCCATCATGTCGCAACCCTCATGTGCTTGTGATGGCCATGTCTTTCACCAGTCAGTAGTAAAGTAGCCACGCGATGTCGCGTCCCTTGGTCCCCCCGCGCTGCATCACCTCAAGGCTGCCACAGTACCCTGCCAGTGACTGATCTTACAAGGCAGCTGACGTTTGGCCATCTCTTGGACAGACTCCAAAGTACACCCAGCCTAGAGGACGGTACTGTAACGCCGAGGAACGGTGGGTCACGCATGGACAGACGAGTTTCTTCGTGTGACCAATAGAACCTGTCCAACGGTCGAAGCATGCTACGACGAGACTTGAATAGTCTTCGCCCACCTCCACGCGCCCAAGTAGGCACGGGTTGAAGCGAATCAGGAGCTGCCGAACACTCGACCATGATACTGAAGAGAAACAGGGGCATGCTACATGTTCCGCAAGAGTCAGATGTGCAGTGCTTGACTCTTGCGGAACAAGTAGAATATTTTCTCCTTCACAGGCCATGGGATAGATGCCCACCATACGCCTTGTACTGTAGCAGGTACCGACAGTGATCGCCCGGCAAGCGATCCTAACCTCCCCACATATCATAATCCATCTCCATGGCAAGCCACACCAGGCCTTGGCCAAAACGTCAAAACGTCATATGCGACCCCGTCCATGCGCGAGACGACTTGACAGGCACGCATTAGCTCAGGTCCTCGGCGCAGGAACTATATGACCTCCACCATGACCTCTCGCCACCTCTCGCCTCGTGCAGACCTCTCACCTCCTGACCCTCTGACCGCCCAGCCAAGTACACCACCTGCTCGACATCCATATCCTTCAAAATGCCGCCTGAACCTGCAACTGCCCTGGCCGGCCGTGCCAGGCAGCGCGTCCAAGAAACCGAAGAAGATAGAATCACCCGAACGTATGCAAACTTTCCAGACTTTGAAAAAGACATGCCTAAACTCGCAAACCGCTTCTCCTTTTCGATCAAGGACAACCTGTCCTCCTACCTGGGTCGCAGGAACCCCTTCTACCAGGATGTCAACCCAGACACAGACTATGTCTGGCTCTTCGACACCACCGCCTACCAAAACCGGCTTGGACGGTGGAAGGCCGAGTTCGTTGCCGCCTACTTTGTGCAAAACAGTGGCAAGGACTTGTCCGAGGTAGTAGCATGGGTCAGCGATAAGATTGGCCTGGCCGACGACGAGGAAGCCAAGAAGACCATTGCGAAGAGGATTCAGCCACTCCTCGACTCCATCCTGCCAGCTCATGCCGTCGAGATCGACCTGCAAGGCGTCACCACACGCCTCGGTCCCAGCGGTCGCGATGGCATCAGCGCCGACGAACTCGCCATTCCAGGAAACGGCTACAAAGACGGCCAAGTCATCACCTCCAAAGCCATCAACGCCGACGCCACCCCCCTCAACATCACCTTTGCCAAGCCCAAAGGCTGGGCCATCCTCAGCGACATCGACGACACCATCAAGAAGACGCTCACCTCGTCCCCCACCGGCATCCTCACCACCACCTTTGCCGAAGAACCCGAGCCCATCGCCGGCATGCCCGACCTCTACCGCCACCTCGTCCAGAAACTAGACAACCCACCCTTTTGGTACCTCTCGGCCTCCCCCTACAATCTCTACCCTTTTCTCCGCTCCTTCCGCGACACCTACTACCCACCCGGCACCATGATCCTCCGCGACGCCAGCTGGATGAACCTCGCCGGCTTCCTCGCAAACCTCACCCAGGGCACAGAAGCCTACAAGCTCGACCGCATCGACAAGCTCCACGCCTGGTTTCCCAAGCGCAAATTCATCCTCATTGGCGACTCCACCCAGTCAGACCCAGAAGCCTATGCCGCCGCCTATCGCAAACACGAGGCCTGGATTGCTGCCATTTTCATCCGCAAGGTTGTGGGTGTCGCGGAGATGGATGAGGGGACGAAGAATGCAGGGGAGAGGTTTGTACAGGCGTTTCGTGGTGTGCCTCGGTCGGTTTGGTATGTTTTTGAGGACCCGGCGGAGCTGTATGAGAAGGTTGAGGCGTTGGTTGCGGCGTAGGGGGTGGATGGGGGAGTTTTGATGTCTTTTTTTTGCGGATAGATGATGGATGATGGATGGATGGAGAGCGTGCATATTTGTTTGCTTCTCTTTTACAGGTTTTCTGTTGAGATGATACCACGGTTGCGTAATAGTGTTTGTTTTATATAGTATATATCTTTCTTCTTCTTTTGCCCTTCTTGCTCTCCCAAACACTCTCTTCCCAAGACTCCCTCTCCCTCCCTTACCATGTTCCTCACTCCATGTCATGACCCCCTCTTAGCCCCCTTTCTAAACCCCTACTTTCTCCCCAACCTAGAACCTAGAATCTCCAAAAAGAATCCCGTTTCCCTGATTCTATACAGAGTGTGGAGATGTTTTCATCGCTGAGTTGTCCTAGCTCGGGTTGGATTGGATGCTAGCATTTGTACATTCATGCTTGTGCCTTGATATAGCAACGATAAATGGGTATCCAGCTGGCTTACGCTAGCAGTCGATGTTGATATCGATCTGATATTCCTCCCACGGGAGCCCAAATCTCCCCGGTACAAACCCCCCCCCCCCCCGCATCAAATCATGTCTTTCACTCCGGCAGACCAAAACCTAACTGTCTACGTATTGCAATCATCAAAGCTACAAAAGTGGGTCAAAGCCATCGAATCTTCCATACTTCTGGTGAATGGTGGCATGTCTGGTTCCCACAGCCTGCATACACCCATCAGCTTCCTGACTGCCAAGTTGGCTGAATGCGTTGCTCAGTCGCGGCGACGAGTCAACATTCATCAGCCTGAATTTCTTCTGGGGAGAGCATGACGACTGG